TTCAGTTAGTTCGAAGCGGTCGTTCGATGGGGTGGAACGGATTGGCTGTCGTCGTGGAGATTCATATAGACATACGAAGGCTGATATTTTTTATTGAAACCGAAGTCAAAACTCGGACTGTCCTTACATAACTATTTGACACAACTCAGTTTAAAATATCAACTGGAAGACAAATAACAATCTTCATTAAGTCCAGTTTCAACAACATGATCTATCATTCCCATTTCAAAAGCAAAGTCTTAGATTATTATTTGTTTTTCTGAAGATATTCAACATTGAATGAATCAATATTAACAGTAATGCCAAGATATATGTCTTTCATCTTCAACAATCCAATTTCTAATCTTAACAATATATCTAGTAAAATAACCTTTCATTGCGAGAATTTCTACTCATGATATAACACTAAACATCATATAAAATCGTTCTTTACTATTCCTTTTTTCAACCCAAAGGCACATAAATAGCAAAAAAAAGACTTTTAATGCGGTGTAATGTAGAAAATATATTTGTATCAAGAAAATTTTACTGCTATAGAAATGAAAAGAAGAAAGAACACAGATTAATAATTAATGAGAATATGAAGTGGATTTTCAAGTAAAAATTTCAGTTGATTTGAAAATTGAGCCACTGTTGCATCTTCAATAACACGATGATCAGCTGACCAACTAACAGACATCATTGAACGAATACGAGATGAGTAACATTTTTCACTATCACTTGAACTTTCATCATTTTCTTCTGGAACTGCTTGTCGCTATTAACATAAAACTCTTATTTAAATAAAAGATGAAGAAAATCCTTACGACAATTTTTCCAAATGTACCCATAGCTACTTGAGGTAAAAGAAGAATAGGTACAGCATATGTTCCTCCGATCTATTTCAAAAAATGAAAAAACAGAAAAAAAAATCAATGAATTAAAAGAAAAATATTACAGTTCCAATATTTGATAATGAAAATGTCCCATTTGTAAGATCTTCTGTTGATAATTTTCCATTTTGAACAAGTTGTTGAAGACGATTAAGTTCATTTTCAATTTGAGTAATCGATAATTGCTGAACATTTTTTATATTTGGTACAAGTAAACCATCTTTTGTATCCATTGCAATACCAATATTATGCGAACCCTTTAATTAAATTCGTTAAAAATTTTATTCTTGATTTTTTTTATATCATACTTTATAAGTTATTGTTTCACATTTCAAATCTACATGAGCATTAAGAATAGGATAGTGAAGTAAAACTTGTGAACATGCTTTTATTATAAATGACATATAAGAAAGTTTTAGTTTATTATCTGATTGATTTTTCCATTTTTTTCTTAATTTAACTAATTGGGTCATATCATATTCGTCACCATAAATAAAATGCGGTATTGTATTGGCTTGAATTCTGGTTTGAACCATTGCTTTACGAATTTCTTTTATTGGTTCATGTCTATCGGTAATAGATATTGTTTGAGAATGACTAGTGATTCTTTTTAGACTTGATGAAGAAGGTATTGGCGCTGGACGAAATATTGCTGTTTGTTTAACAGTTGTTGGTGATGGTGGTGCAACTATTTTTTTTATTAAGATTAGAAATGAAAATTTTGTTGATAAACAAATCGAAACTAACTTGTAGGTGTAATTTTCGATGATGTTGATTTTGCTGATTTAAAATGAATTAAATCTTCTTTTAGTATTCTTCCATCTTTTCCTGTACCTTGAACATCACTTAACGAAATCTAATAAAAAAATGTATTAAAAACCAATATAAATTACATTCGATTTATTTACTTGTAATTCTTTAGCCATTTGTCTAATTGTGGGAGTAGCTAAAATATTAGCTAATGAATTTTTATTTAACGATACATTATCATATGTATCTTCTAGCATTATAGTTGCAGCTAAACAACAAAAATTTATTTTTAGATTTTTTTTCTAATTAATAATTATTACTTTTAGTTCCTGTTAATACATCAATATCATGTTCAAGTTTAATATCAACAAGTGGTTGACCAACTTTAGCTGTATCACTAACTTTATGATGAAGTTTAACTATAGTTCCACCATATCGAGATATTATTGTTACATTAGCTTTATCTGATTGAACTTCACAAATCTTATCGAATTGTTTAACATTATCACCTACTTGAACATACCTGAATAAATGTTAATATTTTAATTTGACATAAAATATTTTATGTTATTAAAATAAAACAAACCATTCTATAATTTCAACTTCACGTATGCCTTCACCAATATCAGCTAATTTAAATTGAACAACAGGAGGTGATAACCAAGATGAAGATATTGAAAATGAACGACAAGAAAAAACCTAAATAGGTAAATATATGTTAAGAACAAAAATTCTCATTTTGTATAATAATTTTACTATGGTAGAATTATTAGTCGATGATAGTGGTATAGTGAATGTTGGATGACCATAAGAATAAATCGAAGAAATTCGATGAAAAAATTTATGTACTAAAGATTGATTCAGAAGATTTCGTGATATTGACGATGACAAAACAACGTATCGAAGAATTGTATTATTACATGTATATCGAATGAACATTGTTCTTAAAAAATAAATCAAAAGAAATTATTTTAGTACTCGCTATAAGAGCTTAGAAATGTATTATACCAAATTAAATATTGATCGTTATCACTAATGTGTCGTACGAGAGAATTTTATCAAGTTATAAATCGTTTTAGAAATAAATTTTATTTCATTAAATAGGCTTCATTGACCATGTCTAAGATGATTCATATCCAGAAATATATTTCTCTTGAATTAAAGCCATTTTAGAAAGATTTTCTCAAAAATTATGGTTAAAGTTGAGTTTTTTTTTTTTAAGTTCGAATTCGAACTTTCGAAAATTAAATTTTCCAACGAGACTAATTCATTGTAACAATATTAGGTTTTCTGATAATTTTGATACTAAAATATAAATATAAGAAAAGAATTTTCAATATTAATATCTGACAATAGTATTAATAAAAATAACCTAATACTATCACAATAAACTAGGCATGTTGAAAATTTTAATCATGGAATAGTTTTTAACTTGAAATTTGCAGAGAATTACAGCATTTTATTCAAAAAAACTCACTAAAGTAGCCATGATACAAAGAAAAAAAAAAGATCTGTCAGCATGAATCATTTGAGATATGGTCTAGTTTTTAGACAATCTAGCTAATAACAAAAATTTTATCATTTGATGAGATGATTCCTTCGTTATTCAATATTGAGTTGTCTAGCTTTTGTTCGAAAAAACTATTTAGATTTATTTTTAAGGATTCATGAGGAGTGTATCATAGATTTTTATAGTTTATTTTATCAATTGATTCAATAAACTATTGTAATAGCATCAATAAAAAACACACAAGATCCAATGCAAAAACTTCCTTGTACTTTATTAGTTTTTGTAATATCCATTAAGGTTTCATTTGAAATTTTTCATATTGAAGAAAATTTATTTACAATAGAAACCATTATAAATGAATTTTACTTCGTTTTTTTCAATAAAGAAACTACAGATGAATTCTATTAAATAGATGGCGTTAACAATTTTCGAATCAGTATATGTTCCCATACCCTTGTTTTAAATGTAAGCGCGAGTAGAAAGAAAAAAATGTTAGGTGAAGATCGTTCAACATCAATAGCCGATGGATTAGCTCGTTGGTTTCAATCATTTCAATGTAAGTTTTTATACTATTTATTCTTTTATTTTATTTTTATTTTTATTCTTATTTAATTCAATAGCTGATATTATTATTGATGAAGATAATTTACGTTGTCTCACATCGAATCCAAATTTACAAGATATTTGGCAAAGAATTATTCGACATTGTCATCCAACTGATTATGTCAAGTATTAGCAACAAAACAAAAAAACAAATACATTTTAGATAATTTTTTTGTTTTTTTTTTAGAAAAGTAAAAGAAACTCTACGCATTGCTGAATTAAAAGAACGTTATCCAGATCGATGGGAACAACATAAAAATGCTCAAATTCAACAAGGTCAAATTGAACAAAGAATTTGTCTTCGTTTACGTGAAATTTATTCATCACGTTCAGAACAATCAACAAATATTTTTAATGAATTAAATCGTGTTCAAATAATGATTAATGATGAATATAATCATATATCTTCACTTGATAAACAACTTCAAATTTATCGACAATTAGCTAATTATTTAAATCAATTATCTCAAATAAAAGAACAATTAAATTCATTAACAACAACTAATGGAACAAATCATCAAGGCATTTATTAATTTTTTTCATTTTAACTATAAACAAATATTTTTTGTTTTTTTTTACTTTTAGGTTTAGTTACAGAATTACTCAATCCAACGAGTTTATTAACTAGAAAATTTCAATCATCAATTAATTTAAATGATTTATGTTCTCTTATGAATACACTTATTCAACAACGAATTAATCAACTTAGGTTAATATTTAACAATTTGTTTTTTTTTATTTATTTATGTATATCTATATTTTGTTTTTTAGTAAAATAGAAAAAGATGAACAAGAACGAAATTCAACAATAATTGATACTTATGAAGAAGCTCTTACAAAAGCTAATCTAGATTTTACTAAACAGTATAATTATTTATTTTCTTTAAATTTTTATCTAAACGACTGTTCAAAGCTAATGTCATCATTTATTATTATTTCTTGTTTCCTAGGATCATGTCTAAATAGGTTTTATATTAAAATCGTTATTGATATTCGAGAGTCATTCAATGTTGAATTTAGTCAAGACAAGATCTAATGTCTATATCAATTTATCTATCTTCAGATTCTTAACTTTAAAACTTTCTACATATCTCTGTAAATTGTTTCACAAGTTTAATCAATGGGCAACATTTCAGATTGAAAATTCAATAAAAAGATATCAGGAGAATATGTTTCGTTATTCTTGAGAGTTTTAATTAGTCTCAAAAAACCGAACTTACAAGCCAAATATTCACTGAAGAATCTTGTCACAGTTAGGAAAATGAATTTCTTTTTTTTTGTTGTGAGATATTTGAATATATTGTTAAAACATATTATTAGATTTGTACATTTGTCAAATATTCGTACGGAATGTGGTAAACTTCGTAGTCGACTTGAAGATAGTAAACGAGAAGTTTTATCTCGTCGATCATCAATTGAACAAACTCAATTAATGTCAATTCTCGATGCAATGATTGCTGTAAGTTAAAGAAAAGAAGAAAACAAAAAAAAAAAAATCTTGATTATAATAATTTTAGAGTAAATCAGTTGAAGTTCATTTAAGTTTATTAAAAAAAAAAGTTCAAACAGAAATTGAACAAACAAAAAAATCAGATGAAAAATTAATATCACATATTCATCAACAAATAATTGAAAAACGAACTGAACTTAATCGAATTGATAATCAATTAAATAAAATCATTGAAGAAAATCCTTTAGAAAAATTAGAAAAGTAAACATGAAAAATTTTTTTATTTCTAAAAAGAGAAAAAATTTTTTTGTTTTTCAATAGACTTGAATTAAAAATTCGTGACTATACTCGACTTCTTAGTGATCTTCCAACACGTTTTCATTCATTAAATATAATGCATTTATCATTATCAAATGATCTTCGTTCAAATATTTTAACATGGCCTCTTGAACAATTTTCTCGTATAAATTTAATAAATAATCAAATTGATGTTCCAATTGAATCACCTCCAACACCATTAATTACAATTCCATCTCAAACTCCAACAACACCATTAACATCACTTAAACAATTACTTGGAATTCGAACACAAGATACAACTATACTTGAATCACCATTAGCAAATGATATTCCATCGATTGAAGAAAATCAAAGGTAAATTTTAATTAATTTATATTAATTAATAATTTAATTTTTTTTTTACTCTAGTTGGGATATTGATATTAATGAAGATGAAACATTATCAATTAAATATCCATCAATATTATCAATTGATTGGGATATTTTAACACGTATTGATAATCAAATGGAAGAAACACTTAAACAATGTCAACAAGATTTTACTCAATATGAACTTTTTTTTCAAAATATTATTAAAGAAGTTAATATTTTATTTTATTTTTTATTCATTTATTTATTTATTTATTTTTATTTTAGATTCGCGTCTTACAATATGAATATATGGAAAAACCGGCTTTTCGCTCATAAATTTTCTTGTCTTCTTGCTTCATACTTTATGTAAAATAAAATAGAATATTTCAAAACTATAATATTCATAACAAATATATTTCAATTCAAACATTGTTTAATCGATATCTTTTGTTTTAACTCAGATTTTAATTATCGTCAATATGATCTATTCATTGAATAGAATCTTTTATAAAGTGAATTATAAGGTTGAATTGTTATCGTGATAAAAACAAATCATCAAGAAATAATTGTTGTGATAAGATTGTGAAATATTCATATGAAATTAAGTTGACTTTCATAAGTCTATCAATTCAAACTTTGAGATAAAACCTTGATAGTTAAATTCAAGTACATTATGATGTTATTCACTTTGCTTCATGTGATGTTACAAACAGAAAAGAGAAAACGATAGATCAGCACAGAATGAAAAGACCAATGAGTGCATTTATCGAAAGATGAATGCACACGAAAATGAATCTGTAGAGCTACTCTCTAATAAAGTCAAATGTGTGTTAAACATTTTAATCGAATCTATTCATGTTTTACTATCAATTTTGATGATGAACATTTTAGAAAACAATCCACCATAACTTTCAATACTACTGATATCGATGACTCAACATTATATAAGTTTTAATCAATCAATAAAAGAGAATATTCATTATGTTTCTAAACAAGATAAAATATATCAGCTGATTGATAATGATTATCTAATTTCTTAGTTGAATGGCGTTGTCATCTATATCAGTTGATTTTCATCGAGATAAATCTCCTTCTCTTTCACCACTATCTCCAACTGTTATTCATTATCATCAAAAGTATAAAACAAGAAAATATTTTCAACATAATCATCGAGAAGTTGAACGACATTCTCGTATTCAAAAACAACAAAGTCGAAATATATCACTTCGACAATATTATCATAAATCAAAAATAAATAAAATTACTAAACAACGACAATCATCTTATTTATGGGAAGAACATAAAAGTTCAAATGGACGAATTTATTATTATAATACTATTACAGATCAATCACAATGGGAAAAACCTTCACGAGAACAATTATCATCATCATCATCAATTCGAAAAAAATCTATTAATAAATATCATATTCATTCAAAACGAGTAAGAAAATTAAATTAATACATTTGAAAATTTTCAATTTTAGTCTTCAAATAATAATAATGAATATTATTCAAAAACATCAAATTTAATTTCAATATCTAATGATAGTATCAATTCTACTCATAGTCAATCATCTTATTTAAATAAAAAATCTTCTATTTATCAACGATCATTTAATAAAAATGATCTAAACAAATCTATGACAATTAATAATCAGAAAAAATATTACAAACGTAAAAATGATTATATTGATATTAAATCATCATTTAAAAAATTACGAAATAATAAAATAAAAACTGATAATATTGCTTTATTAACACCAACATCACCACCAGCAAATGAAATAATTCAAATTGATCATGTTGATCCTCTTCCAACATCAAACAATAGTCTTACTAACATTTCTTTTCCATTTAGTAATTTATCAAAGGAATCTCATTATGAATTATTATCAACTTCTCTTCTTGAAAATATATTCAAATTACTTTATCGAAAATCATCAATAAAAACACAAATTAATCAAAATCTTTCGTCTTCTTTTATTTATCAATCATCATTAGACCCAAGTTCAAGTACAATAAATGCTATTCTTCAATTAGAACATTCACCATCAAGTATTTTACCAATCCAATATGAATCTTCATCAATAATAAATTCAAATTCTAATGATATAACACGATATTATCGTGGTGATTTAATTCAACATTTACTTAATTGGCCATCGACACAAATCGAACGTGAAACTATTCGTTTATCAAATGAACAAATTCGATATATAACATATCGTTTAGCATCATTACGCATGGATTTATTTTCTATTCGACTTCAACTAGAACGAAATCGTTTTCAATTACTCAAATATCATCATATCTTAGCTGCTCAACAATATGTTATTAGTAAACTTCAATTAATTGATTCTAATGAAATATAATATTTATCCTTCATTTAAGTTTTTTTTTGTTTCATGATGAAATCAAAATATAATGTTAAAATGAGAATCTATTGCTAATCATATATGAAGAAACAAATAACATCCAGAAAAGACTCTTTTTTAAAAAACATGAAAATAAAATAAAAAGCATACAGTGCAGTTAAAACAGAAACGTTTCAGACAAAAAAAAAAAAAAATTTGATCTTGCTGATTTTGAATAACCTAATGTTTATTGTTACATTTGACGAAAATTTTGTTGTTGTTGACTTGGTTGTTGCCAGGTTTGAAATCCAGAGAATGGTTTATTCCAAGTTTGAAATTGTTGTTGTTGCGGAATTGAATATTGTTTTGACAATTGATATTGTTTCATTAGTTCTGCTTGTTTTGCTAATTGAAATTGTTGCATTAATTCTTGTTGAGGAAGTGAAAATTGCTCTTCGTATTGATATTCTTGCATTTGTCCTGGTTCTTGTGTTAATTGATACTGTTCTGGTGTACCTAATTGAGGAAGTGAATATTGTTGTGGTACTTGAAATTGTTGCATTTGTTCTGGTCGTTGTTCTGATTCAAATTGTTGTGTTTTCTCTTGTTCAGAAAGTGAAAATTCTTGTTTTTGTTCTTGTTCCTGTGGCAATTTCGACACTTGCATTGACTCTGGTTGTTGCGACAATTCAGAATGTTGCATTTGTTCTTGTTGTTCAGTTAATTTATATTCTTGTGGTTTTTCTTGTTGAGAAAATGTGAATGATTGTGATGTTGGAGATTGTGTTTGTTCTTCTGGAATTAAAACTTGAGCATTAGAAGATGAACTAGATTCTTTTTGTTCAACTTGTGTTTGTTGTGAACTTTGTGTTGTTGAATTAACTATTGGTTCTTGTTGTTGACTATTAGTTAAAACTAACAAAAGAATCAAATTTTATTCAATATCAAAAAAAAAAAAGAAAAAGAAAATGAATAAACCTTGTTGTTTTTTTGATTGATCAATAATTGAATAATCAATAAAACTATGCATATCTGGCCAAACACAAACTTTATTAAAATCATCCCAAACAGTACCACCTGGACACGATTCAACGAACATACGTTCACCATCACACATGATAAAACCTTTGTCACTAACAGCTAATGCTTGTAGTCCATCAGTACCTTGACATGGATTTTGTTGAACTAAAAAAAAAAAGAAACCAGAATAAGAAAATATTTAATGAGATCGAATTCTTTTTAATAAATATTAACGTTGTTGTGGATTAAGACTATAACCAAGACCATCTTGATAAATACAGATATATTGAAGAGCAGCTCCAAAGCGAAATGATTGACATCGTTGATCTGGTGATTGTCCACATGGCTGTTGATTTTGACAAACATGAACATCTAATTCACAATTTCTACCATCAAAACCTGTTGGACATTGACATTTATATGATGTTACATCGACTATAACACATTGACCATTGTTAAGACATGGCTTATGGGCACATGCATTTTTCAATCCTTTCAATTCTAAGTAAAAAAAAAACAAAAAAGAAAAGAAAAGAAAAAAACGATAACATACTACGTTCACATCGACGTGATTCAGGATAATAATAAAGACCTTTTGGACAACGTTGTTCAACACCTTTGCTATTATCAAGACAGACAACAAATCGACGTTTATCATTTAATGGAATAACAGTTTCTGGACGTTGGCCACGACAGAGAATGTCTAAAAGAAAAAAAATTAGATTAAATTTTTCGATAAAATACGAAATATGACCGGCTTCCGTGTGCATTTGTACTCCTTGAATCTTTTGTTGAAATTTATTTTGTGGATCTATCAATCCAGACGATGGAAGATTCATTTGTTGTTGTGTACCGAAGGATTGTGAAGTAACAACAGTTTGCGCAAATGTTTGATGTTTTTGTGGAACTTGTTGAACTCTAAATAATGAAAAACAAAAACAGATTATTTATAATTAAATAAGGCTAAAAGATTTCTCGAATTTACTCGTATCCCATTGGAATCTTTGAAGTATTTTCTTGAACATTTTGCATCCAGCTAAAAAACAATATTTCATCGAAAATAAACAAATACAATATTTTCTTTTTATTTACCTTGATGACATATCGGTGATTTTTGGAGACTGTTGTCTATAAACATTTTGCATAGGAACTTGACTTTGAATTAAAGGTTGAGTTAATAAAGGTTCTTGTTGCATGGCTAAATCAGGCATTCCATTTAAGTTTGGATTTTGTGTATGTGATACAGAAGAAGATAAGTCATATGCTAAGTTTTAAAAATCGATTTTTTTAAAATAAACGAAAATAAATATTTGTTTTTCTTACTAGAACGTCCTAAAACTGAATTTGACAAAGCAAGCAAACACCAAATCAATGAAATCTATTCAAATGAAAATAATTTTAAAAGAAATATCACAATAAAAAAAAAAAGAATCTTAATTTTACCCAAATCATTGCTGATAAAGTATCAATCGATAAAATTTATCTTAATGTAAACTTTTACACTGAAAACGCGAATAATAAAGAATCACGACGAACGATAAATTTATATAGCCAAGTGTATATGTACCTGGATAATAAATCAAAATAAGAGAGTGATATCACACCACTTAGTGTATTCTATCTATATGTTTTTCTGATTATTTTCTTTTTTTCTTGTTAAATTTGATCACAACCTATCGAGGGAAACACTGTCGAAAGAAACTAACAATAGAAGAATAAAGTTATATGTTCTTCTTTGTATAGAATACAATGATCGACAAGTTTGAATTAAACTTTTAAACTATCGTTTCATAGCTAGTAAAAAATAATAATTATATTGTTTATGTAATAGATAATCAAATATTAATGTCATAGTATTAATTAAAATTTACTATTAAATAATTATAGTTATAATAAATTTGTCTAAAACCAATAAAATACATGTAAATATATCAAAATCTATTCTTTTCTGTCTATTCCAAAGAATTCGTCTCATCTTAAAAAAAAAATAATTTTAAAATTTAATTATATTGAGTTCAACTTATGCACAAGCATTGTCTACTCTATAACATATATTTCAATTAGTTTTCTTTCGAGCTTAAATGCCAAGGATAGCAATAATAACTTTCAGGCAAATTCGAAGACGTAGGTACTAGGTACTTTAATAAACTGGTCCATCAAGTTTTTCATAGGTTAAGATCCTTTTTTCAAATCGTTCTTTTGAATAATGAAAACTGCATGTCTTTAACTACTTGCATTCTAGACTTTTTCGAAAATCAATATAAACATAATACATTTTCAAAGAAATCATATATATTTTTTACTTCTCTTTAATTATTTTTCAATAAATTTTATGTATTATAAAATTTTCAATCAAATGTTTATTGAAAGATATGATTAAAGATCTTTATGCACAACAAAAACTTGATTTTGATTGATTATTTATTTTATTAGGACTTCTTCAAAAATTTTTCTTCATTGTATTTTATTCGATGAAAACTAAAGTCAAAAACAAAAAACTTTGTGTTGAGGTGTAACGACATACATCATTTCATATACATGAACTGCTTACTTTTGTGTCTTTACTATTCAAAGAATAAATAATTAAATGTATCGTATATGAGAGCGAAGATTATGCCAATTTCATTCTCATTACAGATGTGTTGAGAGTAGTGTATGAGATTTGTTCTGTTTTTTTGAAAATACAATATTCATTTTAAATGATAATTATATGTAACATATTCGTATTGCATACAGTTCTGATTTAAGTACTTTCATTCGCTGTTAATTATAATAAATATGGATTAAATAGCAAGTGATAAAGTTGAAATTTTGCAAAAGAATCTCATTAATTGTTTGTTCTTAGAAATGACATTTTTTTCTTTTTTATATAAGTAAACATAAACCTTCACATGTTAACAAGGGAAACAAAAGAAAATGCATTGTTCTTATTTGCATCTATCAGCTAAAATAACAGATGAGATGAGACTAACAGTATTGATTGGTTGATTATGTTTGGTAGTTTGTATCAAATTTTTTCTTATTTCTATGTCAAGTCTATGATTAGTTTGTCAAGGTCAACGTAGCCTATTATAATCGAACCATTTTTTTTCTTGCTATTAAAAGAATGTATATTTTCATTTCGAAATCAATGGTTTTGTTTGATAAGATATTATCAAAATACTCACATGAAGAATATAAAGAATAAATCATGTATAAGATCTAAAATATTTCTGTTTTTATTCGTACTCATTTGAATAAAAAAAGAAAAATGAATGTAGATGTTAAGATTTATTAGTAGTCCATTTCCTCTTTTATTCTTTGCTTAATCTATAAGGGAATACCTATAGTCAATAGAAATAAACGTGTCTGTCAAATAATAATGGTAGTTTTTTTTAGGATATATAGTTGTTGATTCATGTGTCAACTAAAACAACACAATTTTTCCTTTTCCTTGTAGCTTTTATAGCAGCTTTTGGTTTGTCTCTACATGATGGATGTATTATGCTGTTGCTTTCTCTTTGTATGTATGGGAAAGTTTTGAGATAGAATATCGCTTCTCTCTCTCTCTCTTTTTTTTATCAATCCAACCATTTTGTCTTCTTATCACTAATATCAACAAGAATATTGGAGTCGCACAAGTTTAGTTGTTAATGGAAAAACATAGATGAGATGATTTCTCGTGTACTAAACAACTTTTTAGAAATCGAAAACTAGATTGATTTTAAAATGTAATGTATTTTTATCAAAGAAAAATATCTAGACAAGTATGTATTAGCAGATAAATTGCAAATTGTTATTGTTGTTGTTTTATGTAATAGATACTAATTCGTATTAGAAATTTTATTTAATTTATATTCATTTTAAATCGAAAGTATTATTTCTATCTGATGTTAATTGAGTAATGATTAAATTAAACAAGAGAAACAGAGGAGAAACAAAAAGAAATGAAGATTGATTATATTGAAATCAATTAACAATCAATAATCTTAGATATATTTCTTTGAATTTCTTATTTTCTTTTCAGATGAATATTTTTCTGCATTATTTCTAATAAATTATCTTTAATTTGATCATAACTGTCGTGTTGGTTGCTCTTCAATATATATACGATTATCTTTTTTATTCGACGATTTATCGTCTTTATTGATCCATTATCAAACAAAAAATCTTGGATCATTATCTATGAATCTATCAGGAGGAGGAACAGGAACTTTACATACATTAACAGGATTGGCACCATCTCATCAATATCTTCCAGTAAAACGAATGCATAGTACACCACCTTCATCATCATCATTATCAATGATAGATTTACGTGAATTAACAAATACACTTCAAGAATTAAATAATAATTTTAAACGAAATATTAATATTCTTACAGAAATAAAAGATTATATGATTAAAGTATGCGAAAAACAAGATACAAGACCAGTTGACGACAATTCAGGTATACATAAACTCGACAGGGTAAGATTCAATTATTATTTTTAACCAGCAATTTATTATTTATATAAATCTTTTGTGAAATTTTTCAAAGAATCCATTTAATAACAATTATTTATGAATTGTAGAATTTGTTCATATTTAAAAATAGGTTTTAGATAAATATGAGAAGTATGTCGTTTGAGTATTAACAAAAAAGAAAAGAGATATATTCATGCTAGTTTAATTATTTCTCTATGTGTTTACTTTTATTATTCTAATAATAACATTCTATAATATGAATAATATAAAACGAAAAACATTTTTAAAAATGATTTCTAAAGATACTCGTATTAGATAAACTAAGATATTAAGTTAATTTTGCCATAATTTTAGAATTTAACCGTAATAAGGTGGTGCAGAATAGGCAGGAGGTTGTTGTTGTTGTTGATTAAAATTATCAATATCTTCAATATCATCTGATTGTCGTTGACAAAAATTTCCTGCAATAAGTGTACCAATAGCTAATATTAATGAAACAATGAAAGATAAAACACCACAAACAAGAAGAAGAGCATTAAGTACAATTTCTTTTTGTTCATTTGATGTTCGTTGATTAGCATTAAGACGACCTTCAATAATATAACGTTGAAATACAATAATTGATGATAAAAATAGAAAAAAACTAATAAATAAAGAAATAAATGCAAGTAATGATAATATTCTTATTGATATTAAAGTTTTTTCACGATAAACAATTAATGAAACAATTCCAACAACAAAAAGAAAAAGGCCACACCATATTCCTTTACCAAGTGTTGGCCATATGGATTGTTCAGAAAAAATATTTGGAATTAATATTGTTTTTATTATTGTATTTGTTGTATATGTTGAATTTGTTATATCTGTTGAATTTATTATATCTGTTGTATATGTTGATGTTGATATTGTTATTGGAAATGATAAAGATGAACGACTATTATATAAATCAATAGATGATAATATAATTGATATAATACCAAATAAAATTAAAAGAATTCCAAGTGGAACAATAAAACCAGTTGAACGTGAAATAAGTTTTGTTGAATAGAGATTTTTCATTGTATTGAATATACTAGTGAAAAATGAATCGATTGATCAAATGAGAGCATGAATGAAAGAATGGGACAGGTCAACTTGTCATGCTTCAATGAGCATGAGATGAAAAATAAATGAGACAAAGTTCAACTATTTTTCTTTTCAAATATTCTATTGTATATTTGATTTTTAGGTAACAGTTGAATTACGTATAGTATTTTTAAAAATTGGTGAAATTGATACATTAAAAGAACAATTTCAAGCTGAAGCTTTTATTCAAGCACGTTGGTCAGATCCGGCCTTAAAAGGAACGGTAAGTGACATGTAAGTATGTTAGAGTAAAAGAAAATTTTTTTTTTTTGAAAACAAAAAATAAAAATTATTTGAAATATTTTTTTTGTTTTTGTTATTAATTAGGATATCGATAATTTTGATGCAAATAAATTTTGGAATCCATTATTATATGTTGATAATTCAGTTGGTGATTTAAAAAATGATGTCTGGCATAAAGTTGTTTATGATGGAATGGATACGCCAATGGTTCGAACTTTTGTTTTTTATTGACAAGGTTTTTTTTTTTGTTAAATATTTGATATAGATTTATGAAATGAGAAAAATCAAAGGTATTTTTCTTGAAAATCTTGAACTTAATGATTTTCCAGTTGATGTTCAAGTAAAGAAAATTTGTTGTTGTTGTTTTTTTTTTTTCTTTTTAATAATTAATATAGGATTTAACAATAACAATATCAACAACACGAACTGTTAATGAAGTATTACTTATTGCAGATACAAATCAATTAAGTGCAATTAATACACGTATGATAGATCGTTAATTTATAGTTTTATTTCTTTTTTTTTTAAGTTAATATTTTCTTGTTGAATTTAAAGATACATTTATTGATCAACAAGAATGGCGTTTGCATGAACATGTTGAAACATCAACAAAATTATTATTAAGTCCATTTTCACCATCACAAAATCAACATCCAGCTTTTTCAGCAACTTGTAAGAAAACAAATTTTGTCTTATTTTTAATAGAAATAATCTTTTCATTTAGGTCGTGCAGCTCGACGGCCTGGATATTTTTATTGGAATGTTTATTTTCTTATCGTAAATTTCGATTTTGTTTTTTTTTTCTTTTTTTTCTTAAAAAATTTTTGTTTTCAGTTCTTTATAACAGTAATGGCTTTTACTACATTTAGTGTTACATATAATCTTCCACAAAATCGTCTTCAATTAAGTTTTACACTTCTTTTAACAGCTGTCACATTTAAATGGGTTGTTGTTCGATGTTTACCTACAATATCTTATTTAACAACATTAGTAATTTTATTTTAATTTAATTAAATAAAAATTTCTTTTACAATTTCTAGGATAAATATGTACTTTTATCAATGGTTATGTTATGTGTTGTATGTGCATGGCATGCATTAATTGCTGTTTGTCCACCTGATACAGCACCATATTGGGATAATATAGCATTAATATCATTAGCTATCATATATGTATTATTTCATATTATATTTTTCTTTTGGATGTATTTCGTTGTAAGTTAGAAAAAAAAATAATTTTTCATTTAATTTTTTTGTTTTTGTAATTAATATATACATAGACATATCGACGACGACGTATAATGACACGAAAAGATCGAGATTATATTGTAAGTTTATCATTTATTTGATCAAAATGAAAAAAGATAACTTAACATACAAAAATTAAATTATATATTTTATTCATTTATAAAAATCATATTTAAATATGCTTAATAATAAATGTCAAATCTATATTTATCATAAATCTATTTAATATTCAGCAATTTTTTTTTTTACAGATAAGTGAATAGATATGATTGATTCTTTGTTATTACTTGACTTTAGTTTTTTTCTCACGTTGATGTTCGTTTATTGAAGCATGTAATCAAACCCAAATTGATTAACGCTGTGTTTCTTGTTTTTCTTTTTTTGACATTATGAAAATATTTATTTATTTTTTATGTATATCTTTATTTTGATCTATGAATAGAGGAAAGAAAAAAAAATAATAATATTTATTATTTTTATTAGAGAAATCGTTTGGAACGTTTATCAACATCTGGTTATCATTCGGTTAATGAATTAGATAAATATGGTTCATCAATAGCGACAACGGTTCTACGTAAAACAACAAATTCTAAACATGAACATCGTTCATCAAATTCATCTGATTGTACATTAAGAAAAAATTCATTTGAACAAAATCATTCAATAGTAACAAACCAACATTTTATTGAACAACATCAACCAAAAGTATCAGTGAGACATACATCAATTGTTAATCCATTTAATATTAGACATTTCAATCATAATAATTATAATGGACAACAATTATTATTAACTTCTGGTGATATTGAAGCAATGACTATGAAACAATTTCGAATGGGTTCTCTTGGATATTGACTGATTTTATTTTTGTGCTTATGTCAGTATCAAAAATTTTTCTTTCATTGCAGAAAAAAAAAGAGCAAATATATTTGTGCATATATTTCGTTTCAAAATCAAATCAAAAGAGTACATTGACTTGTACTCATTTATTCCTTTTATTGCATATATATGTATATACAATAATCAATAAAAAAAACGGATATGTTCTCTGGCAAAGAAATCTTGACAATTGATTAATTATTTGAGTGTCCATTTCATTGAATGTTATGTTTGACAAGAATACATCATATGTCTCTATTATTAGACCATTGATAAAATAGAATAAAACATGAATGCTTCCATATCTATATATACTGACACTTTAGATTGTTCACATAGAAAATCTTTCCAGTTTGTAACATTTGATTGATTGTTGTTGTCGAATATGTTTTTATCTGACAGATTCAAGGACATATTAATGTGTCACACGCACTTAATTACCATGGCTTTTGAAAAAAAAACAGCATCATAGTGTACATTCATTATAAGAAATTAGCAAATGATTTGGGGAGTTATGTAATTAAGACCAACTAATATTCTGTAAGAGAGTAATGTTCTTGTTACTATTTGATTATCAACAGATTATTTTCTCATTATTTTGATATTTAACATTATAGATTTCACCAGCAACTGATGTACACCAAATCAACGTCAAAGAAATTAAGAGAAGAACGATTGAGAGTCAAATGCTCTTTTGCTAACTTCTCATTGTTGATGTTTATGTATTTTATAGGAGAAGACCATGATCATAATATATATACACATTATTCGACTTTGAATATTGATTATTTATTTTGTACTCAACAGAATATTCGTTCTTTCATATTTAGCAAAGAAAAGCCTATGATCTATACGTATCCTATATATATATATATTATTGACACAGCTGTCCACTAAAAAGCTATGTTGTTGTGCTTTTGTTTATTCTTTTATAAATATAGAAAAACAAGTCGAAGAGTAAATACTCTAATGGTTCTAGTAAAATCAGTGGAGACAAAATTGCACTTAAATTTAGGTAACCTTTTCCGGACAAGTCACATCTATATGACTGAAAAGTGCAGCTTTTGTATCGTTCGAGAAAAACGGTCAATGAAAATAATATTTTTTTCAAGACTTCTCTGTGTCGACATACATATTGTTTATTTTGATGAAATTTACAAGATACTTCAGCAATAATAGATGATAATGGCTGATAAGTGCGCGTTCTGTCATTGAAAATCTTGTCAAATTAACGTTTGATACTTTTTTCCGATGTAACAGAGATACGGAAATGATGATATGGTTAAATAGCTTTTAATAGAAAGATGATTTCTGTATGGCATTTTCATATATCAATCAGTCTTTGTACATTAAATATAAGAGTTTTTTGTTTATCTCTAAATATATATTCGTTTGATGAACTCAATGTATTTCTAAAACAAGAACGAAAATATATCCTTCATATCTTATAACAATTAATAAATTCAATCAAAAAATATTCAATTTTCACATTTTCTTCACATGATATAATAATTCAAAAAATTCATTTCTCAATAACGATTGTAATTTTTTTTTCTCCTTTTAAAAAATCAAATAATTTCTCATAAAAATTTGTCTTTTCAAACAGTACTCATTTTATGTCATTTATTGATAATCTATGAGATAATTATTTAAAAATAAAAATTGACAATAAGACATAATTCATTGATTAAATAGTTCTCTTATCTAGTCTTTCCAAGTTTCATATCATTCATAAACCTATTAGAATTTTTATATACAAACATCCACTCTAATTTTACTCGCAACGTCGGGATATAGACCTAGACCTCCTCACTCTTACTCAGATCTGTCTCTCGTCCTCATCATCATTTTTAATTCCACTCGTATTCGTATTGTTGCTTTTTTTCTCAGTTTTACAGTTCATGAAAATAAAATTCTGATTTTGTCTGGTCAAAATTCGGATTCCAATTTTGTACGGACAAATTTAGAATTTGACCGAATTCCAATTTTGACCGTAACATATTTATTTATTATCAGTGCATTGAGAGATTCAATTAATAGCTGTGCATTCTGGAATTCAAATATGGAAGCATTGACATGTTTTTCTGTATTACTTATTTTTTAATATATTAAACTACCTTCATAAACAGTTGTATTATTATTAAGAGTATTTGCTATTATTGTTTGTCTGCACCGAACATTTCCAACATGTTACTTGGTGCACAATGCGGGTCTTGATAAAAGTCAAGTGAGCTCATTAGTTATACTATTACGTATCTTCTATGTTCTATAGGATTAAAATAGAAATGTTCAAAAGTTGTGGAATCAAACAAAGACAAGATAATTAGTCACATAATCTATATTATGCACTGAACATCATGAGAATTAAATGGTTTATAGATAAAACTCAGCGATGCTTATATCCTTCTGCAAATATCAAATTATAGTCTATGATAACAGGGGTTCTATTGAATTTATTATATTGCACTTGTTGCTTGATCAACTGAATGAGTGACATTTCTTTCAAAATTCAATATCGTAAGAAAATCGAAGAATAAAATTGAAAATTGTCATATTTAGAGATTC